ATTGGCCAGGACATTCCGGCCAGTGCGCTCATTGGCCGGCCAATGTACAAAATACGCTGTCAAGTGTAAGCTGCGTAGTGTTTTATATATATATATATATATATATATATATATATATATATATATATATATATATATATATATATATATATATGTTGCCAAGAAACATATAGTAAAACAAAAAATACGAACCAGTAGTGGAGTCTGATGGTTTCGGTGATGCCACATGAAAAAAGGTAATGAAATAAAATATATTATATTTATGATTTATTGTGGACAGTGGTAAGGACTGTGTCAATGGAGAAGCGGGACGGCGCATTAATTTGGTATTTTGGACCAGCATTTCAATGAATCTACATAAAACATAAACGTACAAGCGAATTTTGAAAAAAAGTCAATAACAACCTTCCAACGCCAGGAATCCGTTAGTTTGAGCTACACAGAGAAGAGCCTAAAGAACATTAATTTTTTTCCCCCATAAGCATTAGGACAGGGTCAATCTTTTTTTTTACCCTGAGTATCCTATTGTTAGGGTAAGGTTTATATTTTATTTTATGCTGTTACTCAATTATTTTTGAATTTTATGTGCTTATTACAACCACGTTTAAAAAAATAGTGTCACAAATTAGTGTCACACTTCTCGCCTCAGACGTTCAGTGTCTCACATGAAGTTGCCAATTTAATAGAAGAATTTCATTTGTCCTTGTTATATATGTAATTAAATTTTTGTGAACATAGTATCTCCACTTCCACGACTGTCCCACTTTTGATTTTCACTGTCCCTCTTCCCACCCATATAGTGACTTTAAAATTTAAAGTCATATAGGTTAACATTTTTAAACAAGAGTTTTAATAACTATGTCTAACCTTGAAGGCTAAAATATTAAAGTGATTGGAAGAATTTGGAATTATTTCACTAAGACAGATAAAAGAGAATATATATATATATATATATATATATATATATATATATATATATATATATATATATATATATATATATATATATATATAACGTACTTTGTCTACCCAACTCATACACTCGTGATATTTCAGTCTAGATAAGTTGTTAAAGATACGAACCAGCTGAAGGAGTTGTTGTTGTAGTACTTGCATCTGCATTGTTGAACAATGTTAAAAATATAAATATATAAATAAATATATATATATATTATATATATATATATATATATATATATATATATATATATATATATATATATATATATATATATATATATATATATATATATACATATAAATAAATAAATAAAACGTTCTTTGTCTACCCAACTTATACAGTCGTGATATTTCAGTCTAGATTCTATATAAGTTGTTAGATAACTAAAAATACGAACCCGTTGTAGTAAGCGCTGGAGTAGTGCTTGCTGTTGTAGTGCTTGATCCTACATTGTTGAATAATGTTACATAATTTATATATATATATATATATATATATATATATATATAAAACGTCCTTTTTCTACCCAACTTATACAGTCGTGATATTTCAGTCTAGATTCTATATAAGTTGTTAGATAACTAAGAATACGAACCAGTTGTAGTAGGCGCTGGAGTAGTGCTTGCTGTTGTAGTGCTTGATCCTACATTGTTGAATAATGTTACATAATTTATATATATATATATATATATATATATATATATATATATATATATATATATATATATATATATATATATATATATAACGTCCTTTTTCTACCCAACTTATACAGTCGTGATATTTCAATCTAGATTCTATATAAGTTGTTAGATAACTAAGAATACGAACCCGTTGTAGTAGGCGCTGGAGTAGTGCTTGCTGTTGTAGTGCTTGATCCTACATTGTTGAATAATGTTACATAATTTATATATATATATATATATATATATATATATATATATATATATATATATATATATATATATATATATATATATATATATATATATATATATATATATATATATAAAACGTCCTTTTTCTACCCAACTTATACAGTCGTGATATTTCAGTCTAGATTCTATATAAGTTGTTAGATAACTAAGAATACGAACCAGTTGTAGTAGGCGCTGGAGTAGTGCTTGCTGTTGTAGTGCTTGATCCTACATTGTTGAATAATGTTACATAGTTTATATATATTTGGTGTTGTAGGCCTTGATCCTACATTTTTGAATAATGATGTATGAAAATGTCAATATTATCTCAACGTTAAGACACGGAATTTTATTTCTGTTCCTTACCAATCAAATATGTAATCTTAAATGACACGAACATCTTTTTAGCTATACAAATATATTTGTTGATCTTACAGTAAATAAACCGGGAGTGATCTCCCCTAAACTTTCTCGAATATTCGTATATAACTTGGAATATAGACATGATTTTTAATTACTTAAACTTTTAAAAATAGAATAGAATCTCATAGAAAAAAGAATTGCGCACCAAGCGAACGCCAAAACAAAATAGCGTAAATTAGTACTTCCGGTCAACGGAAATTACTCACAATTTGACAAAAGGTAGAGAATTAGATTTTTTACTTACATATGAAATGACATTTATCTATCTGAAATAGTACTCAAGTTATAGGCTTTTAAAAAATTCAAAGTAGAAAAAGAAGCACTTTCGGTTATCGGAAATCGCTCAAAAGTTGATCAGGATCTAGGATTTTGATAAAATACTTATATATGAAATTTCATCAACCTAGCTGTAAGGGTACAAAAGTTATCGTGTTTACACACAGACAGACACACACACACACAGACACACAGACATACGGACAAGATTGCAAAATTATGTTTTTTCGTATCAGTGAGGTGTAAAACGTCGAGAATTATAAAAATCTCGATTTTTTTGCACGATTACAAGACTTTCTCTATACTTCGTATATACGAGAAAGTAAAAACGCAACCAACACAATGGAATAAACTATACAATCCCGCACGTAACATTAATTGAAAGAAATATCAAATATTTCATTTCAACATGATTTCTAAAATTTAAACTGTTTTTGAATTCTTAGGATTTAATAAAGGATATATATATATATATATATATATATATATATATATATATATATATATATATATATATATATTGCCAAATGTGATAGTGGCAACAGTTTTCTTATTTTGGCCTACTTTTCAAATGAAATTTTCGTCGAACATGCTATAGTCCCTTGCGGAATACGAGAAATGTATTTTTACATCTGTGGCCCTAGGTTGATTTTAATCCGTTGGTCGTTTTAAGTACGTAGTTAACAGTTTTGGCATATAAAACACCAAGTTATATTTACCAATTTGTAAGTTTTATTGTATACCATCATGCGACATAAGAATTCGAATTTATATATAATGTGTGCATTTTAATTTTAGGAAATTTGATTCAAAATACAAGTTTTAGAAAAGTTATTATTTGGGTTGAATGCAATGTTTGGAATAAAATCTAAAACATATTTTATACGAAAAGTTTTATCTTTAAGTTCTAAAATTTTTTAAAAATATTTAAATAAAAACAAAAGAAGTAGTTGTAGTATATGTAATGTAACCTTTGAATATGAAATTTCAGAAGTATTACTAATATAAGTAGTAAAATACTACTAATATTTTAAATAAGCTTTACATTCATATTGTACATTTAAAAATGTAATTATTATAATTTTTACCTGTTGTTGTTTCTGGAGAAGGATTTGTGTTACCTAGGGCTAAACAAGATTTGACAATTAAAACTCAGCAGTGTATTAATTTGGTCTTAAAATCCTACGGGAAATGCTGCGCTATGCTGAATGATTAAGATTAATATTATCGAAGCTAAATTTAAAAAAAAAACCCTTCTTATTTCATGTTTGTAAAAAAGAACAATACCTGTGTCTAGTCGGTTCAAATAAAACACAAAGGACGTCTTTAGTAATGCCTACATATTACAAGGAGGTACTAGAGAGGTTACTATTACTCCCTACATGTCACAATAAAGCTAAGCTTTACTCAATATATGTCTCAGGGGAGGTCACTATTACTCCCAACAGATCACAAGGGAGATCACTATTACTTCCAACATACCACAAGGGAGATCACTATTACTTCCAACATTTCACAAGGGAGATCACTAATACTCTCTACAGGTCACAAGGATGATTACTATTACTCTCTACATGGACCAAGGGAGATAATATTTCTCCCAAATATCACCAGGGAGATCACCAATGGATCAAGGGCGATCACTTTTGTCACAACACACTGTGCGCACATTTCCAACGAGGAACGACAGGACATGACGCCATGCTTACCACAAAATCTGTTCTTCAAGTCATCCCCCAGCTTTGTTAGGTTATTGAACCCATCGCTTGTGTTGCATGCTTTTTCCGTTGAATAACACTGCGTGTATTGCTCGGCTTTCCTAAAATGAATTAAAATGTGCGCAACATATGTATACAATGTTTTAGTTTAGCTTGGGGAAGACTGGTCTAATGTTGACGCGAACTCGTTTTTAGTACATTTATTTTCAAATAATTGCACTTCTATTATGTTTAAAAGTTTGACAGGTAGGCCTATAAGAAATGTAAAGTAGCTTCATATTATTTTATCAAGAAGTATTTGTATTTCAATTAATAATTAAAAATAGAACACACGCCATCCACCCTCAAATTTTTCGCTTTTGAAAATGGTTTTTATGAATTTTCTCGTTTTCCCCACAAATCAAGTGTTAACATATAATGTTAACACAAAACATGATATATTACAACACCTGTTGTGTATTAAAATTATGTATGCGTTTGTCTGCGGATATCTACACATGCATGAGTGTATCCATGTGTAAGATATAAAAAAAGTCGAACCTGCAGATTTCCTCCATTCCACTAGCTTTCTCTAGGGCATCTCTTTCAACTTGACAATTATATTTGCCAAAGCATTTTCCAAACAATTTACTACTAACACCAGCAACGAATTCAGCATCTTAATAAGTAAATAAGATGTCTCTCATGAACACATATGTATATATATATATATATATATATATATATATATATAAAATTAAGGCGTTACATAAATAGACCCTACTTAAGTAATTATTATAAGACAATGCGATGCAAGTAAAAATCACAGCATGTGTTTATGTTTACTTTTATGGTTCTAGAATCTACAGTGATGACGTAATGACGGAGGGAAGAACTGACACACTACCACAATCCTTATATATATATATATATATAATATAATATGTGTTATGTATGCATGTCTATATTCATGTACAAAATAGACTACATAAAAACGTTCTATGTATAATTACCATTGTTAGAGCCAGAGAGAGCATCTGAAAAACACATTTTTGTTTTACGATTGTGAAAAACACACATATTTATTTTATGATTGTGAAAAACACACATATTTGTTTGTTTTATGATTGTGAAAAACACACATATTTGTTTTATGATTGTGAAAAACACACATATACCTATTTGTTTTATGATTTTGAAAACACATATATTATTTTTATTATTTTAGTGTTATAGTATAAAAAATAGCAAATTTGTCCATATGTTTAATATATTTTTTTGAGATTCAAATGATTATATTTATTTTGGGTTCTATATATTTATATTTCAGTAGAGAGCGAATGTTTACCTGCTGCCAAGATAAAACAGCCGACGAAAACTGTAGACAACAGGAGCATAACATTATTTGTTACAACTATTATGATTAGTTTGTTAATTTCACTGAGTTAAATATATAATGATGATATTAATAGCAATTTATTAATTATAAAACAAGTTAAATAAAAATATATAAAAAAATATATAAAAATATAATATATATGTATATATATATATATATATATATATATATATATATATATATATATATATATATATATATATATATATATATATATATATATATATTTCGGAGCAATGGGCAAAGCATACTTTAAAAAGATAAAGCTTAACATAAGTTGTACTCTATGACAAAAACCCAGTGATGGTAATTTTAGCATTATAATCAGCCTGTTTGTTAATTTGACTTTAACTAGAAACAAACAATATATTTAAACTTGGAAAAATATTAATTGTATGAACTTGTGCAATATAGTTCTAGACCCGCATGACTGAATACCTCAAGCTTTGTAAGGATAATCGTATTAAAATGTAAAACTTCTTACCAAGATACAAGCACTGCATGATGGTATTTTTGAGTTGCTGTAACATTTTTAAAGAAGTATAAATTTTAATATGCTTAGTAATAACAGTATAGTTTGAAATAGAATAGAAATCAAAAACATATTTCTGTACGCTACATTAACTTGTTGTAATGTTATATAGGCTGCTAGATAAAGTATGAAAAGAAATCACATTACAGATGCATAAATTAAACTAATATAACATAGTCTTTTGTATGTCAGGCACCGTAATGTGCAAATTACAATGTGTCTAATGCTCGTTAATTGTGAGACGATGTGGTCCTAAAGCTCGAGTGTTTGACTTCTATCCCGATAGTCTCGAGTTCGGATCCCGGGTTCGATTAGTACACCACGTTCTGATAGGTATCTGATATCTGACTCACATTAAGGGAAAGGGCGGCTAGGTATAATGCTGACCTCACCATACCTTCGTATGACTAGGTCGCGTATGGAACAGTGTTTCTTCCAGACTTTTTTCTCCGGGGGCACATGAAATTTTCCGGGGGGGGGGGGGGCGGACTAACATTTTCGAGGAGGGGGGGGGGGCGGACACTGTTAAAAGTTTATATTTTCTATATAAATTCCATTTCGTTCGGGGGCGGGAGGCTTTCATCTGGGGGGGGGGGGGGGGGGAGGGGGGGAATGGGCTGAGCGCCCCCCCCCTTTTATTACAAAAAGGTGAATGTCTTTTTATGTTCCTCTGAGGATTGTTGTGGTTTCTAGTTAAGTAGTCCGCTATTCTGGCGCTGATATGATTAGGATTTTAAAATGGACGATGGTCCGAAATTAGATGTTTTGTTCCGTTGAGTTCTGTTTCTGTTTTGTATGTCTCGAGTGTTATGTTTAGTCGTGTTTTGTCCCGTTGAGTTTTTTTGTTTAGTCGTGTTTTGTGTATTCTGTAGTTTATCATCTTTTTTATTTTGATTGGTTCAATGTAATAAATTTAATTAATTGTTAAAAGCTTTTTGTTTTTATTATTTAGACTAAGGTTAGGTCATTAACCAGTCTGGGTTTAGCCGGACTTGCACTGACCGGACAGTAGTTAGATAAGCCTAGGGAAGGGTAGAGTAGATTTTAGTTATCCCCCCCCCCCCCTAGCAGGGCTTACATTTACCACGCGTAAATTAGTTGTTTCTTAATAAACACAATACAAGAAGCCATCATTACTGCTTGTTTAACTTAAAATACAATCTTTATATATAAAACAAAACTGTCTTACACATGTAGTCTATGACTGAATTCATGCTTTTTAAAACTATTTTTATCCTCCCCCATTCATCATGCTTACACTTTGTCACTAAATTTCAATTCCAAGATTTTGGTTTTAGTTACTAAGAGCTATTGTGTGTGTGTGTGTGTGTGTGTGTGTGTGTTTGTGTGTGTTCGTGTGGTTGATGCAGGCCAAGCCAAGGAAAAAAATGAATTGCTTCCTAATACAAACAGGACAATCAAAGCAGAACGATCTTAAAGATAGTTTGAAATAAAAAAAAATCATAAAAAAAAAAATAATAAAGACTGCTACATACTGATTAAAGACCCGTATTAAAAATTTATTTTAAAGAGTTGATATTTTTAGAATAATTATTTTCTTTAAAACATTACCAGTTAACAAATAAATATGATTAATATTTACGAAAGTTAATTTAAAGTAATTTTGGAGCTTAATTACAATAGAATCACTACACTTGCGTATATATGTTGTAAGTAAACTTAAATAAATTGAATCAAAATGTGTACTTTATAATTATATGTAGTATCAGGAGACAAATTAAAACATATGTAACATGTCTATACGTTAGTCGTGTTTTAATATAATAGTCATAAAGTTTATAAATTTCAAATACGAACTCAAAACTGTAAACGCTATATTAGAAGACCAAAAAAAAAACTCCCTCGTTATAAAATAGCTATTATAATTATAGAAAGAAATATACAACAAATGAAAACAACTCACCTAATGTGAATCCTCTGTGTCAAGGGGAGCGCACCAAATACTGAAGTGTGGTCCTGGCTAAGAATGGAGGGCTATTTATAGGCTTTTGTTATCAAAGGATTGTCTCCCTGACAGCATTGAAAATTATTTGGACAATAAAATCGACTTTGTTCGTTGGAGTTGGACTATAAATTTGACATAAATAAATCATGATCGAAAATAAAATTTAACTACACGTATTTCAGCACCGTGGAAATTTATGTGTAAATGGAGGTAGACTAACAAAAAAAAAACACAGACTCACGTAGACATTCACGTCTAAGTAGGCACAACAGATGTAGATATAGAAATAGACATATACGTAGACATAGAGATACACAAAAATCACTTGATTTTAAAATTTCTTTTATTAGATATTAAGCCACATCATTGCGCCCTCATTTTATGTAAACTATAGTAAATTGTTTCTCTCTAATAAAGTTCATCCATCTTAGATAATATTAAATTTAATTTTTGGGGGTTTATTTTTTGTTTTGTTTTATTCGCAAACAAATAAGCCTATCTCTTAACAATATAGCTAGCTTTTCTTTATTAAAGGGAAACAACTGCGGAATTCGACTAATACATTTTTGGGAGTATTACTTCTCTTTTAAGAGCCACAGCTCAGTAATGTTTATGATTCTTATTCGGTTTATTAATAATGGCATATTAAAAAAGTACTTACTCCACTTCCAGTTTGGTCAGATGCTAATAACTTAATATAAACGGTTTTAATTACATTATATCCTAATTCAAGATATTCTAATGTTACCTAATAGACACAACAGTTACATGATTAAAGCCATAGGCAAAAGCAAATAGTGCATTTAAACTCAATTATTAATAGACCTAAAAAATTATATCATAATTTAACCGATTCTAATTTTACATAATAGACACATAATAGACACAACAGTTACATCGTTAAAGCCATAGGCAAAAGCTAATAATGTATTAAAAATCAATTATTAATAGACTTAAAAATGGCTTAGATCTGTTTGTCGCTTGTATTCTCGATTTAGATAATGATAATCGTGTTGGAACCAAATAAACCAACAAACAGTTGCCCTAGGCAAAAGCTAATAATAGATTGTAACACATTAAACATTGCAAGTGACAAAAATTAATATTATTGGACAGCCATCTTTATTTTAAAGCGAAACCCTGACCCATGACCTAAGTCGGCTCCCAAGAGCGGTCTGCTACCTTCCCGACACCTAACTCACTATTACTGAGAGTGATTAACGTACACTCAAGGCTGTCAAACACCACGCCCTAGGGTAGTGTAGGTAAACCCGTGCCCCGACAAATATGATCCAAGAAATTTGGCGCAGATATTGTTTACATTTAAATAACTCAGTTTTAGAAAACAAGATCACACGACTAAAATAAAGGATTGGTAAGGCATTGCTGAAACCTTCTTAGAATATTTCGTCAGACTTTCTATTAGCCCCACGGCAACGCGCTGGGACGTGCACGCTAGAAAAAATATATAATACTAGTAAAAAACGAAACTTTTCTATCCAATCTTACTCCGTGTAATGTTATAGTCTATAACATTTCAATAGACCAATATTATATACAATATTTAAGAACTCAAATATGAATATAGATAATAACACACTTAGTTTCATTTTACAGTAGGTTAGTATTTGTTTATTTGTTTTATAGCATAGCGCACTACCTTAGTGCATTGAGAATAGGAAGGTTATAGAAACATTCTAAAGTGTTTCGGCATTGCTCTGAACTTAGACCTCCAACTGTTCTAAAAATAAAAGCTAACATAAATAGAACTCAAAAAAAGGCAGTGAAATTGTTAGATTAAACAGTTTGTAAAATTAATTATATCGACCGTCGATACACTGCCATTCTCAAATCAACGCAAAATGACTGTGTAGTTATTTAATCATGATTTTCATGTTATAGTTTCTTTTCGTGCACGAATAAAGATATTATTCAAATAGTGTAATAGAATCAATCACATTTCCCTTCTTTTACATGCAGTTATGAGAAAAAAACAAGATCGGAAACAATTTTGCCTATTTAAGAAATCTGAAGTTTAATTACTGAATTCACATTACATACAAATAAATTACACAACATACAACTATACACATTTTAACGTTTTAAATTTTCTTTTTTTTATGGTTTTGTTAATTCTTTCTTAACCGATTGCAAAGCTTATTGCCGTCTTTCAATTACGTTGTCAATGATTTTGTTTTGCCCATTTGCTGGCAGGCACGTCTTATAAGTATAGAAAGAACTAGTAAATAACGAATAAAGAAAAATAGATACTACTTTGTTAAGAGATGAAAATCATAGGACGTATATATGTTTGAAATATGTTTCATATTTGTATAGTAAATCCTATCTAATTACATTTATGAGATCGTTCCTCCCTAACAGCAGCATTCACATTACTAAAACGAAACAGGAACTAAAACATATTTGTGGCGTTAGCATGGGGTGAAGTGAGGAACACTTGTAACTACCACACTAGAGCTATTTGCAAAAGTACGCTATTTTCAATAAACGTATTGGATTAAAAAATTTTAAGCTCATAAAATCACAATATTTATATAAAAGTTTTAAACAAAACCGTTTTGTTTTTTTTTCTCTCTCGCTTTCTCTCTTTTTTCTTTCTCTCTCTCTCATATATATATATATATATATATATATATATATATATGTATATATATATGTATATATAAACAAATCTTATACATAAACATACGTTACATATACACTAACACACACACACACACACACACTATATATATATATATATATATATATATATATATATATATATATATATATATATATATATATATATACTAATTGATAGGTTGAATTAATTTTTTTAAATATTTGATTCACTACATTGGTAATAATATTCAACATAATATTAATTGGATGATTCTATAGACAAACTGTTAATTAGTTCGACAACATATTTTTAAAAACAGCTTTAGAGATAAAACGTTTCAAGAGAGAGAGAGTTCACTGGCGCCTGTTTTTTTGGAAGTGGTTTGTTGTGTGCTGGAAGCTAAGTGGGAAATTGTGCGGGGAAAATTTCCAGAAAAACAACGCATCCCAATCTACGAAGCTCCGCCCACCTGTTATGTAACTGTGTGTGAAGTGGAATTTGTTTCCTGGAAAACTTTTGAGGGGAGTTACAATTTAACGAGATATTATCTTCTGAAAAGCTTTATGCTAGTTTTTTTTTGTGTAAATTTTGTTTATCTAAATGGCACTTGAACTTTAGTATGATAAATACTTACTGAATAGAAGTTAAATGTTTTTTTTGAAAATAAAATAATTTCAATGAAAATTTTTGTTCGGTCAGTCGAAAGTGACTTTTATTTTTCTAGAAAATTTCCGCCATCATTATCTCATGGGCGTAGATAAAGCTTACAAAAATATTCTAGGTCTGCTGGTCTGCAAGCGACGACTCAACTGCCTGCTAACAAATATTTGCAAATGAAAAGCGAATTCGACGATGTCTCAATGGGGCACACTCCACAAAGTTAACAAACAAACACTGCTGAACTTAAAATCTAAATGAAAGTTTAAAATAGACCTCTAAATCAGTAGTGTCACCAGGCGCTGCAGGTTTGTGTATGTGTGTGTGTGTGTGGGACGGGGGGGGGGGGGGGTTGAGGTGACACCATTTTGGGTATGACGCCGAATAAAAAACATCCCAAAAAGTCATGTCAAAGCAATGTTTCATCCAGTATCAATTTAAAAAAAAATAGAAGGGAAGAGGGGTGAGAACAAATTGAATGTGCTAAATTGTTGGTTGGAATCTCTCATAGAGACGGTACTGGCACCAATGTATCACTGCAACACATGCAACTTACTGTAACACTTTTTCAAGAAATGGGTAGCAAATAAATAATTGAGAAACAAAAAGTTTTACAACGTTTGGTGTAACCCACCAGGATCCGCCTAAGACTTTAAGTTTCCGTTTCAAACCTAATTTTGAAAATGTTGAACTCTGATCTCTGTTCTACTTATGAATTAGTGTATATAAGTTGAAAGATTCAGAGTATTTTAGCAGAATCCAGTGCAGTGGTTCTGAAATATTTGTCACCAAAATGGCATCTTTATTAGTGACAAGTGTATTAGCCATCTGCTTCATCCTTTGCTCGGGTGAGTAAAGTAAAACATTATCTTTTATCTACACTTATTGATATTGGTAGACACGACATTACATTACACATATATTTACAATAATTTTTAAATATTTTTTTTTCGTCTTAACTTCCTTTAAATGCCTAGTTTCTTTTTGTATGTGGAAAACACTGAAATATATTAAAGTATTATCATAACCTTTGTCATTTCTGTCTGTTTGTTGGTTTCTGGTACTGGCAAATGCTGTTACTTCTTCTTCTTGGTTCTTAATTATTAGTGTTGAAGGGGATCGAGATTTATCTGCCAGTGGGTTTGAGCTCGAGACTTTGTTCCAATTTATCAACCATGAGCTTTTTGCCGACTCGACCACGCCTCCAACACAATTAAGCGTTACGTGTCAACTGGTTATGCGCCATTGAGGCCATTGACTCCGATTTCAGCCTGCTTTTCTTTTTGGAATTGTCTCTCCCAGAAGAGTGGCTGTCCCCAGCTAACGAGCCTCATCTGCCCGAGGGTTCGAACTCGAGACTTTTCGGTTTAGCAACCATGAGCTTTACCGACTCGACCACGCCGACCCCTACGTTGTTACTAAATTTTGACAAAATTTGCTTTCTTTAATAACAGCATTGGTCGTTAAAATATGTAAGAGATCTCATGAGAAAACCAAATAGTTTATAAAAGAAAACACATTTCAGTTTTATTTCCAGACATTAAACGCTTGATTTTATAAAGGTTTTTATATTCGTTCTTTTTATGGTGGGTTGTGGCAATTCTAGTAACTCCATTTTAACCCACTTGTAGTGCATTGATTTCATTCCAACTTTCAAGAAACGTTTGTACGATGCAAGAATATCTAATTTTTTAAATTATTAAAAATTTATTTAAAATTTAATTAAACTAACTTAATTCAATAACACAATGTGAGATACTATGATTAAATACTAGCAATAGTCAATTTAATACTTTTATTGGCTTATTTGTGTTAACTGGCAAGAACTACACATAGTCTGAACATCCCCGGATGCTAGTTTATAGCATCCGTCTTTATCCTGTTTATGAGAAATATGAATGTACTTTGAAAAAAAACCTATGCTTTCTCATTGTTATCTGATGCTCAAAATGGGCAAAATTTTAAAAATAAACTTTAAAGTTAAGACGTTTTTTACAGTTAGGTAGTAAACTCCAATAAATATTTTATCACACATTTACAACAGCTAAACAAGAACAAAATTATATAAAAATAGTAATGCTATTTATAAATTTCAGCAAAACTCTAGTCATTAAATTTATTTTAATTCAAATTTTTATAGGCGTAAAAGTCGACATTAGGAGAGAATCATTTCACCGTGGTAAAAATGTATTTTGTGCACAACTCCAGTGTACAGAGAACATATCAGAGAACATAACAGAAGACACTCAGATGTCAGCTCTTGTCAACATGTCAGTCTATAGGACCAGTGAATCAGAAGGGAAGATTTTGGTGGCGTCTATCTTAGGAGCTGATTCAAGGGTTATAGACTACAAAGTGCCCGGAGTTTTAATTGATGGGAAAATGTCAAAACACGACGGTGAATTGATGTTGTATTTGTCAAATCCTCCATTATGCCACACAGCGATATTTAAGTGTGAGGTGTATTTTTCTAACATGACAGGAGAAGTTGGAGTAGAAGAAGAAAAAACAGAATCAACAACTACTAAGAAAAAGCGGAAGTCAGACCTGGTGATGAGTTTGAAAGCTAAAACTATAGACTACGTGAGAACTGTGGACACAATGGCCGACTTTTTGAAATCGTTTGAAGATCCAGAAAAACTAAAAGGTGCAGACATGTCAATGTCTTTACAAATGTCACATTCGGATGGAGATGAGTATATGAAGGATACAATTTTGTCAACTACAGACTTAACTGACAGTCACAAACAAATATTTTTTTCTAATGATATGGGGTCATTTAACACAAGATTCAATAATCTGACCACCGTTGTTAAAGAAAATTTGCAAGTTATGAATAACAGAATGAGTAGCATCGAAGACAGTGTTTTAAAATTCATTGCAATATCTGAAGGAAACGAAACATCACAGTTAGTAGGTTTATCAAACAAAACTGGACAAGATGCAATTTTAAACACCGTGGCAGCGGAATTTAAAGAGCAAATGCAACTTATGAATGACAGATTTAGAAATTTAGAGGACAAATTAAACCTAGCCATAAAAATATCAGAATCTAATCAAACATCAAATTTGGCACTGATTCCAAACACCGATCAAAAGATGAAAGACGTGATAATATCTTGCCCATTGGTTGGGACGAAAGAAATGGTAGCCATTTTTAATTTTATCTTCATAAATTTTAATTCACACAATACAAAATACTGAACCTTCGTAAAACAAATTCCGTTACTTTCAAAAATAAATTGTTCAGTAGTATCTAAAATCTACGCGCTTTATTTTATCCGTTTAGTTTTACATTTTGTTGTAATTATTATGTTGTTTACGCACATTTTATATGGTGAACCAACTCTATGAACAGTGTGTTTTCGCCAGAACTTTACACCTTTTCACAGTGCGAAGCACCCCCTGCAGAGGCAGAACTACCACGCCGCCAGACCCTGCAATGCGAGTGGGGGGGGGGGGGGGTTGGGGGGGCAGGCGGCTCAGAGGGCCCAAAATCCGACCAAACAAAGAAACTTAGTTTTTAAAAATATAAATGTTTTTCGTGCACATGAATAGTGGTTTTGTAAAAACAAAATACATCTACTATAGTAGTGCTTGTTCTACAGTAAATAACACAGTGTTGCGTAGTAAATAGTTTTTAAAGTCTAGATGATCTGTAGTGTGAAAGATAGGCAACCATTCTTCCATAACTTATTGCCCTCATTTAAATAGTCTAATACGGGTACCCATAAAGATCTTTTAAACAGTTTTGTACAAAGTAAATTAAAAAGCAACGGCTTCTCTTATTTATTATTCAAATAAAACCTACTAAAGAATGGAATAGCCATAAAAAGGAATTTTTCAAAATTCATAATTTAAACACAAAAATTCCTTAAAAAATCATGACACAAGAAACCATTACACAAATCAAGCGTACGTGTTTATATACTTTTGACCTTGCTTGCGTAATTTGTTTTCCCCATAACTTTCGGCAAACATGAAATGCATTGGAATATTTTTAAAGCACGATTATTTCAGGCACGAAATTAGTTGGAACATTTTATGTATTGTTAGTTGACTCACGACTGTTTTAAATATATATATATATATATATATATATATATATATATATATATATATATATATATATATATATATATATATATATATAAGGGGGCCCAACAACTGTTTTTGCGTGGGAGCCTTTTTTTCTAGTTCCCCGACTAACTCTCTGGCATGAATGTTTGTATATCGGGAGTTGGGTGAGATGTTGGAGTGAAGTTCGAACAAGGGGCAACATCTTAATTTTGGCTATGCAAGCGCTAACTCTAAACCCTACTCTGATTCGCTAGTTATATTATTTACCTAAGACTTGACTTCAATTCCTTCTATTGCATAATATTTTAACCTCGTTCTCTAATATTTTTTTTAGTGTAAAAGAAATTATAACACGAGCTTGCCTAACCGGTATTCCATTCTACTGAATGAAACGAAGTTGACTCTGTGTGATACAAAAACTGACTTAGGTGGATGGATCTTGATACAGGTTATAACGCTAACTATCTGATTATTTTAAAATAAATTTTGTTGAAATGTATTGTTTGCTTAACTGTATTAAACTTTATCTCCAGCGTCGTATTTCGGGTGATGTCGACTTTTCCAGAAAATGGAATGATTATAAAGATGGTTTTGGCTCAATTGCAGGAGATTTCTGGCTTGGCAATAAATGGATTTCTTGGCTTACGATGGAGGTATTTAAATTTAATACTAGTATTAATGGTGCACGTAAAAATTGCAAAAATAATTGAGATGTGGTAATTGTATTTCAAAGTTTATTATTAAATTTTCATTTTTTATGAAATAGTGTTAAAATATAGATTATATTTAAAAAAACCATTTTGAGCTTTAAATATATATATATATATATATATATATATATATATATATATATATATATATATATATATATATATATATATATATATATATATATATATATAATTTTTATATATATGAAGGAATATATTTATTTTTACAGGAGGTAAGTGGTACTACTTAATCTACGGTCAAACTGTATTGGTGTCGTCCCGGCGCCCCTAGGTAGAGTACATTATAGCCCCCGAATTTCTTAGTGGCAACCTGAGCACATTGGGCGTCCTGCACAGAGAGTCTTTTATACTACTTGATTCAACTGTTAAACTGCAATAGAGGCGGCTTCAGCTGTCTTGGGACCCTGAGCACCTCTGGCTCAGCTATGAGCAATATGTCGCTTACTCTCGTTTTAAAAAGCATCCTACTCTAGAACACACTGGAATATTACATTTTGATTAATAAACAACTAATTACTAAGCCTAATACTATACAATCAAAATAGAATATTTAAACCAAAGGAGGCTTAGTGTGTACCCACAATAACAAATTCTTGCGGTTTTGCGACTTAAGTACTTATGATAGGAAGTATGCACAACAAAACTGTTCGCCGCAGAACATAATATTGCAAAATTAAATACAACAAAAACAAAATCCAGACACGTAATTAATTTAGAACCTGATTGGTTCAGTAAAACTTTTTTTGGAAAGTTCCCCCCTTTCCCCATGGCGGAGGTAGCACGTGAAATTAAATTAAAATTTACAAATATAATATATTTTTGATATAATACAAAGTGGTATGGGCGACTTATATTTGATTTTAATGTAGGTGTAACCCTACTTTGTAGCGTAGTTTTGAAACTTGAAATTTGTAACTGTGAGTTAAATCGCGTGATAAAACAACAACTAAAATGCTTCTCTAATCCGTTGACATAACACCAAATGTCAAATATTGTCATTTATAATTTAATGATATTTCCACAGGGCTTTAATGAAATGAGAATCGACATGTCTTATAACGGTAGCAGCTACCACATTGTGTACAGACATTTTACGGTACAAAATGAAGTCGGTTTTTATAGGATGACGTATTCAACATCCAGTGGAAATATTGTGGACAACCTAAGTTACCATAATGGGATGAAGTTTGCTACAGTAGACCGGGACAACAACTATTGCGCTGCGTCATACACAGGGGGGTGGTGGTATGACCATTGTTACTCTGTTGTGTTGAATGGAATCTGGGGGAGTGTTAAGAAGGGTCTAGGCATACACTGGTTTAACATAACTGGTAACACAAACAGTCTTGACTTTGTTGAGATGAAAGTACGAAAACTACGAGAGTAGGGTTAGCTTTTAACATTGAAGCTAAAACATATTTTATTTTATGTCTATTTATGTCGACATTTCAGCGCCCATACCCAAAAGTAGTGCTACTTATATACACAACCAGACACAGCTGCACATCCGGTCTAGTAAATAACTAATTACATTTAAGTATTGCATTAACTTAATCTTTACTAGAATTAACTGCTTATAAAATGAATGGCAGGTACAAAATAATACACTACACACATTAAAATTTTTTTTATAAAATGTAAACAGTATAATCATAAGATACAGAAGGACAAGAGATTGGTGTATACCAAATTCCATCTGTCTACTCCACACGTCCAAGACAACTAGTCCAACTGTCGTCTGGTCTTGTCGTCATGTGTGACACAGTGACAGACGGGGGAAGGATGGACAATTTTCCAACGACGCGTCACGGGGACCGTAGACTTCTTCCGAAACTGGACCGAGTACAAAAACGGTTTTGGGGATTACGGAGTTGGAGACTTCTACATAGGCAATGAGAATATTTACTGCCTAACATTAACACATCGTTATGAGCTCATGATTGACATGACGTACAATGGAAAAGACTATCACGCGTTTTATTCCAATTTTACATTTTCTCCTGAAACCCAAGGTTATAAGCTGTCTGTGAGCGGGTATTCTGGTACCGCCGGTAACTCTCACAACAGAGTGAACAACAACCAAAAATTCTCCACGTTCGACAAAGACAACGACAAATACATCAATGGGAATTGTGCCGTCAGCTACAAGGCCGCGTGGTGGTACAACCAATGTCACTACACCAACCTCAACGGCCTATGGGGCTGCAACAGAAGTAGCGAGGGTTTAAACTGGTATGACGTCACGGGGATAAATGGCAGTGTCAGCAGGAGCGAGATGAAAATAAGACCAGTATCTCCCTAGCTGATTAGATGAAAATAAGACCAGTATCTCCATAGCTGATGAAAATAAGACCAGTAACTCCCTAGCTGATTAGATGAAAATAAGACCAGTATCTCCATGGCTGATGAAAATAAGACCAGTATCTCTCTAGCTGATGAAAATAAGACCAGTATCTCTCTAGCTGATGAAAATAAGACCAGTATCTCCCTAGCTGATGGAAATAAGACCAGTATCTCCCTAGCTGATTAGATGAAAATAAGACCAGTATCTCCATGGCTGATGAAAATAAGACCAGTATCTCCATGGCTGATGAAAATAAGACCAGTATCGCCCTAGCTGATTAGATGAAAATAAGACCAGTATCTCCCTAGCTGATGAAAATAAGACCAGTATCTCCCTAGCTGATGAAAATAAGACCAGTATCTCCCTAGCTGATGAAAATAAGATCAGTATTTCCCTAGCTGATGAAAATAAGACCAGTATCTCCCTAGCTGATGAAAATAAGACCAGTATCTCCCTAGCTGATGAAAATAAGACCAGTATCTCCATAGGTGATTCGTTTTTAATTAAAAACGTGTTACTATTTTCTGTAGACTAACTCACAGGTTTAAAGTGGCAGTGATTAAACCCAGTACATCGTTTTCTCTCCATTAACTAGTTCTATTATTTTACTTTTAAAAATTTGCATTAAGTTATTTTTTAAAATAGTTTAAATTGAATAAAGCACAATACTATAATCTAGTGTTTGTTCGTTCTTAATCTCAAGTCCGCTTTATAAATTGCTGTCAGCTAACCAGCCATCCAAGAATCCTGCCTATCAGCCTACCTGCCTCCCTGCCTGTCTTTCTGTGTTTCTACCTAATTTCAATGTGCCGAAGCAAAAAAAATACTAATTATAATTATCCATTGAATCTAAGTTTACAAAAATTAAATTTTAAAATATAAGATGATAAAACAAAATGGTTTAATTTTACTACACTAAATAAAACTATATGTTTGTTATCTTTTATTTTGTTTATTTAATTAATTATCTTAATTATCTTAATGATTGTTTCATTATTGTAGTCATTTCACAGTTAACCAAAGGGACACTACAAAATTATAATACTTTTCTTTGGCTTTAACAGAATACATTCCCTTTATTTTAATTTTTTTAAACTAATTTCTTTTTTGCTGTTCTAAAATTTAAAATTGACAAATACTACGGTCAGCGAAGTGATATTTTCTGATACCGATTATAATTTTTTTATTTTGCAAAAAATAATTATAAAATGATTAATGATACAATAAATTCGCATATAAAAATAAACATATTGATAATAACAAACAAAATGTGAGAAATAAACTCAGAAAATATCAATAAAGACGTTGTTAATATCTGGTTAGACTAAAAAGCTTCATAACAATTCGCATTTATTTATTTTAAAGTTTTTATTTTAAGCTCACAAAAATTG